CCACTGAATGCGTCCATGAAACTCATCAGCTCACATCCTGCCGTCTCATCAACCAACTGATCAATGTTGGGGAGAGGAAAAGGATCCATCGGGCAAGCTTTATTTAGATCAGTGTAATCGACGCACATCCGCCAGGTATTCCCTTTGGGTGCGAGGACTACATTTGCCAACCATTCCGGGTAGCGGACTTCCCGGATGTGCCCAATGGATTGCAGGGTGGTCACCTGCTTGGTTACAAACTCTCTCCGTTCTGAGGAGAGGAAACACTTCTCCTGTTTGACCGGCTTGTGGGTCGGATCCACTGCCAATCTATGGCAAATGATTTTTGGGTCGACCCCTGGCATATCCTCTGGTCCCCAAGCGAATAGCACCTTGAATGCTCGGAGGACCTCCAATAACTGCTCCTTTACTTCAGGCGGTAAGGTTTTACCTACCTTCACCTTCCGCTCTGGCTCAACCGGGTCCAAAGAAACTTCCTCGACCTCTTCCGCCGGCTCAGCTCGGGGTCGCCCTTCCTCCTTCTGGATCGCCGCACAGATCGTGCTCACATTCTCGTCGACTTAGGCTTGGCTTTTGGTCGCCCTGACGTAGCACGACCGTGACAGGCTCTGGTTCCCCTTTGCTACTCCCACCCCTGTGGGAGTGTTGAACTTTAGGCATAAGTGGACGGGGGAGATTACGCACTCCAGGTCCTCCAACCCTGGTCGTCCTAGAATCAGATGGTGTGCACAGTCGAGCTGTACTACCATAAATTCCATGTCGACCCAGAGTCGGTAGGTGCCATCTCCTACCCCGGCCTTTACTGTGATAGTTCCTTCTGCTTCGATAGTATCCCCTGTAAACCCTGATAGTGGCGTATGGATTGGCTTCAGGTCGCTTTGGGACAACCCCAACTCGTTAAAGGTGTTTCTGTACATTACGTTGACCGAGCTGCCCGTATCGACCAAGGTTCGGTGAACAACCACATTATTGATCTCCACTCTTATCACCAGAGCGTCCCTGTGAGGGCTGAGGACTGGGGGATAATCCTCGTCTGTAAAGATCAGAGGTTCCTTCTTCTTCCGCTTAGGCAGCGGCGGCCTTTGTACACCATGTTCTTCTACTTCTTCCGGGAGGATACCGAATCTCCTCCAGTGTTTCCTCCCATGATGAACCGACACCCCAGGTGTCGGTGACCTTGCCTCTCCTCCTCATCTAGGTCATCACAATCTCGCCCTAGGTGCCGCCGTCCATCTTCTTGCCCCTCTCCTGCTGTGATCGCTGCCGTGGGGGCTGGCGGCCTCCTCCAGGTCCGGTTACTTGAGGATGGTCGCTTCGACCGAGGAGGTGGCCCTTTAGCGATCAGCTGATCTATCTCCTTTTTCAACGTAACGCACTCCGACGTGTTATGGGTGCTGTTACGGTGGTACTCGCAGTATTTGGGTGCATCTTGCACACCATAGCTTTCCCGACCATGAGGAGGGCCGGCAACGACTATACCGCGTGAACAAGATGCCTGTTCGCATGATACCCGGTGGGGTTCGGCCCCTTACCATAATCCTTCCTTTTCTTTCCTTCTGCCACAGGTGGCCCGCTTTTCTTCTCCTTCCGGACTGGTGGCTCATCATATTCCTCTTCCAGCGCCAGGTACTTCGCCCTGGCCAACATCTCTTGATAGGTCGAGAGAGGATTCCGTCGCAGCTCCTTACGCACATCCCCTTGGGGGAGTGCAGCTTGGAGCATGGCGATCAGGGCTTGGTCGTCCGCCCCTTGGACATCCCTAGCCTCCATCTCCCACCTATTAATGAACTCCCGGAGTTGTTCCCCCTTCCGGATCTTCACATTGAGCAAATGCGAGAAGGGGAGCTTTTGTCTCCGGCTGGATGTGAAGTGCTCCAAGAACTTGTGGGCCAGGTCGCTCCACTTATCTATCGACCCCTTGGGTAACTTGTGAAACCACTCACAAGCCTGCCCCTCTAGTGTCGCCAGGAAGCACCGACACTTGATTTCTTCTGGATATGCATACATGACCACGTTGGCCCCGAAGCGAGCGAGGTGGTCTTGGGGATCGGTCGTCCCGTTGTACGCCTTGATCTGGGGAGTCTTGAAATTATCTGCGAGAGAGCAGGACATTATCCTTTTGGAGAAGGGCGTTACCTCACTGAAGACCGCCTGGCGATAGGGGTTCTGGGCATCCAGCCGCTTCTCCAGTTGTTCGTACATTTTCCACAGCTCGGTTGCGCCCTTATCCCTGACTGTGATCCGTCGCTCCTCAGAACCAACCTTGGAGGTCGCTGTGGACTCCCCTTTCTTCTCCTTGAGCGTGTCTCTCAAGTCGCCTTTTCGGGCCGACCGAGTGTCCTGCAGCCGTTCGAACGCAGAGGTCCGAGGTTTCTTTGACTTGGGGTCTCCCAAACGGTCAAAAGCAGACATCCACTCGAAGGAGGCCGACTCGTCCTCTTCTTCCAGCCTGGAAAGCGCATCTGCCATCATAGCCTTCCCATTAGGCTTGGTCGCCTTCTTCTTCTGGGACCGCCTCACTTTTTTCTTTCTTCCTTGGGAGCCTGCAGGTCCAGCTTTCCCGCCTGTGGGTCCCCCAGCCACATCTCCTACCACAACCTTGCGGTTGGGTGCAAGTGCGGCCAGCACCTCCTTGAATTGTTCGGCCGTGATCCCAACCCTCTGAATGAGGGCCTCAGCCTCCCCGGTGGTGATGGGGGGTGCCGGCCTCCGGTGGCGCTATCCTCCCCCTGTTGGGGAACTCCGGTACCTACGTTGGCGTTGCTACATGTTTGCACCATCGTCGTTGTGGAGGATTTCTTCTGAGCGGATCGTAAGAACAAAATTAAGAACGAGAATTCGAGAATTGGGTGTGTATTACTAGCTTGATTTAGCTTGAGTTCTCCCCTTTCGGGTCCCCTCTATTTATACATGAGCTCTAAACAATTAAGGTAATGCATAACCGATGGAGTCTATCCCGCCAAGGGCGCGATCCCCTTTTCCCGGCTCCGTAACGGCCAATCTGCTCCGTCTCCTTCTTCGGATTGACTCTGCCAGCTGCGCTTGGCCTGAGGTTAACTAGGCCCAGCTCCTTGGGCCGGCCCAGCTTGAGTATTTCACATGTGCTTGACCCGAAGCTGTTTAAATGGTTCATTTGGGCCGTCCTCTAGATATCGGCCCATCAATAACGTAACTGATTAAAATAAAAATTCACATTTGTTTATGATATACTTGAATGAAGTTAATTTTTAATTTATTTATATAAATATAAACTAAATAAGATAAAATTAATCCAGTATATTTTAATGTCTAACATAATACAGATTATTCTATAAAACAAGAGGTGTATAGATTATTTTTTAAATGATCAACTATTTAAATTAAATAAATTAAAAAAGAATATTTTCACGAGCTTGAATGATTTCGTATTCAATCATAAAGGAAAAATAATTAAATGAGAATTTACCAATATATTTATACAATTTATTCAAAATCACAAGATTACTAATAATTTTTTATATTATTATTTGTTTGAATTAATGCATTAGAGAAGAATCATTGAAATTTAATATTTTTTTAATTTTTTTTGAATCATACAATGCCTAATTCAGGATTTGACCAATAAAATCAAATTAGAATTAAAAAGAATTTTAAAATCAAGTTCCATAGAATAAAATTATATCGAGGATGTGATATAATTACTCTCTTTATAGAATACAAAAACTTATAGATATGTGTCAAGGAACTCATTCAACCAAAAGCTCAAGCTTGTAGTTGTGGCCTAAGAACATTTATTTATATTCTAACACGCCCCTCACATGCAAGCGTAGTCTTTTTTTAGCCTTGCACGTGAAACCTTAATTTTTTTAAACTGGGTGGCGCTAAGTTTCGAACCCGTGACCTCTTAGTCAACGAGGCTCTGATACCATGTCAAGGAACCTATTCAACCAAAAGCTCAAGTTTGTAGTTGTGGCCCAGGAACATTTATTTATATTTTAACTATATGCATGTTAGATTAGCCTTTATTCTAGATGGAACAGGTCATGAAATACTACCTGAATTGTCATGTTCTAAATGATAGGAATATGTTCAAAAAAAAACATTTTCCAATATGAAGTTACTAAAAAGTATGTGTGTATTTAAAAATGTGTATAATCCTTTATATATAAAAAAAGAGAGTTGGGTATCTAAGAACTTGACATGTGGCATGCTTATGTGGCCTTTTTTTAACAATTAACATGCCACCTAATTTTTCTTATAATATGTCTTCACCTATAAATAAATTTTATATCTCTTTATGATACATCTAAATAAATTAAGTTAGTTTGACTATGGTAAGAAATCTTTGAATAAATTTAATTATGAAATAGGAAAATTCATTTTTTATAATAGTATTCTTTCCCAATTTAATATTTTTTACTCTGTTCATTTATAATTACACTTTTAATTAATTTTAAAACTACATTAAAGTATATTTTCATAAAAATTACATTAAAAAAATTCAAAAACCAGAGATGATTGAACTATAATTGTGTTAAATTAGAAAAATATATTATACATAACTCCATAGTTAGAATATATTTTTTCTGATTTGATTTATCACAAGAGGAATTGTGTTTATAGTATGATTTATTATATAAATTAAAAAATATATTATGTTTAATTATCTTCTATTATATAATAAAATTGATCAAAAAACTGTGTCACCATGAAATGCTATGTTCAAGCTATATTTCTTTACAATTTCAACATCATTGACTGAATTTAATCTTTGCCCTTTAATATAATATTTGAGACTCGTGTCTCCAAAAAGTTAACATGTGCCATCTTACATGTCAATTTTTAAATGACATGGCACAAGAATAAATTACATGGCATGGTTTAAATGCTCATTCATCATTTATGGAAATTTATTTATGATAACCTTTAAAATATGATGAGTTTAAAACAATATATTTTATATTAAAAAATTATGGACTTTTGAATTTATTGAAAATTATGTAAATGAAATAAATATAATTTTTTAATAAAAATTAAATAAATTAATCATAAAAAAGAAATTAATCATGATTAGCTGAGATGTTTTTTCATCCAAAATTTTCTTCACTTGATAAGAATTTCTTTTTAAACAGCAAAACAAATATAGTTGCAAGGGTTTTCACAAAGAAAAATTACAAAAACATTTTAAAATAATTATAGGTATTTCACTTTTGACTTCATTGAAGTCACAACTACTACTTTTTAAAAAAATAAAAAAAAATATTCGAATGAGATATATATAACAAAACACTATTTGCAAAAAAATCGAATCACGTATTTTTCATACGTGAATTTTATCAAAATTCTACATAGATATGAAGTGGTGGATCGGAGGCGAGGTCATCCTCATTCGAAATTTACTACCATGAACATGAGTGCCTAATCGAGGGACACAAAACATTAAGGTGCCCCTAAATGCACAATTGGGATAAAATTATAATTATCATAACGGAGACCTAGAATAGAAAAAGGTTAATCCAAAAGGGTCATTTTGAAAAATTACTCTATATTTAAATGTTGAAAATACCTAAATTTCCTCCACTGAACATCCATTTAATTAACAAACATATACGGAGGACACTGAGTGAATAAATTAAATCTCAACTATTAAGCAAGTACTACATAGATAATTAATGCTTAATAACACTGATTTTGGAAAATAGCTTATTCGAAAAGACTATTTTGAGATTACTCAAATTAAAGAAATTTATAATTTGTAATTAGGTGATTAAAAGACTTAAGACTATATTTTCTAAGATAATTATACGTGTCATGGTTATGTACTTTATTTTTATACAAATGGATTATACATATACTATGAGATTGACTCAATGCATATCTTATATAGAACTTTTGTTTATGGTAAGATGACTAATTATGATATGAAATAAAAGTATTTACATACAATTTGACTATTTTTAAAATATTGAATATTTAAAATAAAAAATTAGGAAAAAGATTTAATAAGACTTTTATACTTTATCTGGGTAACTTGATTTACTATTTTATTAATCAAAATAATCTTATATTGTAACTTATGATTTACTCAGTACATACTTATATTGTGTTACAATTCAAAATGTTTATACATAAAATTAAGAAATTTTGAATAAGAGAGGACTTCTACGTTTTCATTTGCGCAATCGTACAAGGAAACTTTATAGGATGACATTTTATGAGACGACACAGATTTATGCATAGAAGATTGTGACAAAGAAGATCAAGATGTGGAGGGGGTAGTTGGGATTATGGATGAGAAGAATCCTTTTTTTCAATTACTACTTCCGTCCCTGAGTATTTGTTCAGTTTTGACTTTTTCCGTTTAACTGTTTTTAATATTTGACTTATAATTAAATAAAATATATACTATATATTATAAAGATAAAATAATATTTTGTAAATGAATAATATAATAAATCAAATAAAACTAATTTTGTAACAATATCTAATATCATTATATTATTACCAATTTTAATAAAAAAGTCAAAAGTATACAAATACGCAGGGACAAAGGGGGTATATAATTATAATGGCGGTAATTTAGGTTTTTAAATTAATGTGAGGAAAAAGAATCATTGGATTACTAAGACTTTTTGTATTAATATATTTTTGAATTTATACAGGGAGAAAAATTATAGATTTGTAGAAATACAAAAAACCTAAATCATTTATATTTGTCCTTTGAATAATATTCCAAATAAAAATCAAGATCCACATTGTATAATCAATTTTTTTGTCTAAATCCGTGCATGACACGAATTTAAATACTAGTGCATATATATAAATTTGAGCGGTTTAACTGTAAGTTTGACATTTGGCATGCCACATGGGAGCCACATTAGCACTATGTTTGGTTAAAGGAATTTGAGAGGGAAAGGAAAAGAAAATGAGAAGGAAAACATTTTTTCTTGTTTGGTTAGAGAGGAAAAGAAAAGAAAAGTGGAAGGAAAAGAAAATGAGAAAGCAAAATGTATTAAGAGGATGGAAAACCAAATTCCTCCCATTTTGGTGAGGAAACTAATGAAAAATCATTTTCTTTTTTTTTCCTTCCAAATTCCTTTGGTGAGTCATAGGTGACTCAATACTTAGAGCATCTCCAACCTTATCAATATGACTTGTTAAAAGTTATATAATAGCAAGTGAATCTCTTTTTTCCATCTCCAAGGGATATGGTATATTTTAACATACCTGTCAAAAAATAAAATTGGCTTGCTAAACCTAGCAAGCCATCCAAATAAAAGCAAGCCAAGAAAATTAATAAAAAATTAAATTTAAATTTAAAAAAGTAACGGGAATAGGAAGATGCACATGAAAAAGTCATTCTTCTTCCTCCGTTAGTGAATTAATTCACTTTAATTCATTTTTAATTACTAAAAGGGAATTCATTATATTTTAAAATCTAGTTGTTAGTTAAATTTTAGCAAGCATGGTTGGATGATGGATTAAAAAACTACTTGCTAAATTACTATTTACTAGTTAAAATTTAACAATACCATTTTAATATAGCAAAGATGGTTGGAGATGCTTGTGTTCTGCCTTTTGAGAGTCTGTCCGTTTCTTTTCACCCTCCGACTCCCTTAGCGGAGTGTTTCTATGGAAAACGAATACGAGGAATCATCCGATTACCCAATCATCTCGATGCAGCACCAAATTCAAACGGATGGGCGTTTCCCGAACCACAGCTTCGAGTATGTCAATCTGTGTGGCTTGCATCTGACGTTCTGACTTTGCTGATCTCACTGCTCAACGCCTCGCCTCTGCCGGAAAAGCTCCGTTCCAAAGCCCGTCTCGCCTAACGCCGTCGGAGCCTGTCAGTACGCATGTTCCACCCGCCGATTTTCTCAAGGTTTGGTGTGTGATTGTTTCTAAATGTTATTTCTGTGATTGTCCTCTCCCAATTCCCAAACTCACATGATATATATAGATTCTATTCATATTGAGCTGAATCTGCCCCTTTCTGATACAACTCATTTTCATTGAGATTACCACTCTGTTTATTTTTCATCGAGCTTGTCGGGGAAGCACGGAACAAAACACAACGGAAGCGTATAAAATCTTTTCCCCAAATTAATGAGATGAATAACAAGCACAATAAACTCTGAAAAATCAGCAGCACACACACAAATAAATGGCAGTGATAATAAAGTAGATACACACGATTTACGTGGAAACCCCAAATCGGGGAGAAAACCACGGCCGCTCAACAACGGCTCCCAAACTTCCACTAATCACCAAGAATCAAGTGGGTACAACAAGTTCTCCTCTCTAGTAAACACTAGAGGCATACACAATCATCAAGGAGCAACCTTGGAACAACAACAATCAACAATTCACCATAAAATGGAGTAAAAACTCCCAAAAACGCAGGTCTGAAAACGCAACCAGAAAACAGCCTTCCGGGCATCAAAACGAGAAACTGACCGTTGGATATGAAGAGGAGTGTGTGAGGAACAACATACTAAAATTTGAGCACGATCCGACTTCGTTTGGCCTTCGATCCGGAGGTGAAAAGTGGCTGCTGCACTGTGTGGCGAGAAATCTGTTTTTTTTCTCTCTTTCCTGCGTAGCTACTGCCAGTACTCTCTCTACACCTCTTCTTTTTTTTTTTTTTTTGCTTTTCTCCCCTTATCTCTTTTCTCTTCTTTTTTTTTATATTTAATATATGGGCCACCAAAAAGAACAATTGGGCTAAAACTTTACACACAAAAATAAGCCCAAATGTAAAAGAGAGATATAATGTGTTGTCCAATTAAAATTGAACACTTCCTCCATGTAGGAGGAAAATTTCCCAACAGAGCTTAATATTGTTCATTTTCTAATACTGTATGCTAATATTCACTCTCTTTTTATTTGGACAGTTGGAGGGTTAATTCAACTCACTTCATTTTTCTAATCTGCTATGTTGGGATATTTGGACAGTTGGATGGTTGATTCAACTCACTTAGTTTCTAATTTTCTTCTCATCAGCCTGCCATAAACCCACTAGACTATTTCTATTCCCATTGGTGATTTTGAGTTTCTGATGACAAGTTATTCTGCCCAGTTCTTTTAGCATTTCATATACTTGCTAATGGTCAAAGTTGATTCATAGAAGGTGAGCACTTCACTTTCAATTTTTCAATCATTTGTTGTTTAAAAAAATAAGTTTGATTTTGAATGATTGAGTAACTTAGTTTGAGGTGCAGTTTCACATGAGTTGAATACCTCAATTTGAATAGTAACTCCATTCGAGTCAAACCACGGAAATGTTTACACTTCGTTTGACAGAAAGGCCTAGACACACTCCATTGACCTCCATCACCCTTGCTTCACAGAATACTTAGATATTTCTATATTTGTTTATTCTATGTTGACTAACTAATTTACTCTGATACAGAGTACTTATCTATTGGCTATGTGTTTGTTAGATATGAAATATGCATAGACTACAATATCAACTCTACCCTAAAGTTTAATTTTAAAGTGAATTTAAATATTGAAGGCCATCATGCTCATCAACATTGTCCCATTGCATTTTAGTCCTAATAGTATTCTAGCATTATTTTCTTCTTTTAGTTGAGAGTTTGGGTTGTTTTTTGAGTGATTTGATTAATGATGGTACTTATGTGTGTGGTTTATGTTTTCTATTTTCTCTAATTATGTTTCTGTGTGAAGAGGAACTAAGCAAAGCTAGCGATTCACTGTTCGATTGAGATGTGGCAACATATCTTCCAAGCAAATCTCCAGATCTTGGAGTTTTTTTTTATTACAGAGTACATATTCACTTCAAGTGTTGTCATAGGTTACCCTCTTTCTATATATAGCAATATTACTGAGCAATATATTTGGTAGAGTTTTTCACATAAATGAGTGTTGGCTATCAAGGAGAAACATGAACTTTACATCTATTTAGACTTGGAGAAAGGTGATCTAGATCCATGAAAATATTTTCTACATTCTTTTTAAAAGCAGGCTAATAGAGAAGACTCGAAATACCGTAGGACCTTGCATTTAATTTTGACAATTCTGTGACTAACTAACACAAGCAAACTTTGAAAACCATTTTTAGGTTTTCTATCTTCCTTGGTCTCCTTCTTGAAGAACCATAGACCCTAAATTGTGTTCGAGACAGTGAGGTGTGATTGTGAAAGGAGGCTTCAAACTTTGTCTTTATTATCCTTCCACTTTTTTAAAAGTTTATTTTAAAATTTTAGTCCAATCTGTTAGCGACAAGGAATGACAAAGACTTGGGGAATTGCTGCAACGAGTCACAAGCGTCGGTGGCAAAGTTATTCCCATTCTTATTCCCAATAAACTTGCGGTGATGGAAGGAAAAAGCTTCTTGGAAGTCAGCAAGATCTCCAAAAAAGGCTTAGATATCAAGATCTTTTTTAATTGGTTTAGTTTAAAATGGGTCTGTCGATGTTGTTTTTGGTTCGCTGATCTTTCTTAGAGGCCCAATTAACTTCTTTATCTTCTTGGGTTATAGTTTTGCTTCTTAACTTTTAACTATTTATTTTTATTTTCAAATGCTGTCACACTGGTGACATGAACAGAATGCTAATAAAGGAATTCACAAGAACAGGTAATATTCTATAGTGTATGATTTACTATTGAGTGTTAGGCAGAAATAGGGCAGAATTATTTCAGCCACAATGCTCAACTAAGTGTAGAAACGAAGCGTAGGAAAAGATGATATTTTTACCCCTATTGGTTTGGATTTTGAGGGTTTCACGACATTTAAGGGGATATTCTTATCAGGGGAACAATTTAAGGACATTAATCACCTCATTAGAAATAGAACCATTGTGAGGAGGAGCTACTTAAACCCATTTTAAAAATTATGTTGAACAATCTTTTATGGAAATACTTGATACTCTCAAGGAACCAACAACCAATAGTTTCATGGTGGACCTCCTATCGTTTTCCTAAAGGTTTTATTTGGGCAGTGTACAACTTCTAAAATTGAGTAAGCTTTGCCAATAGTTATCATAAATCATCAATC